GAAGTTCCGTGCCAGCATTGGTCCGACGGGTGGCAAGCGAGGCTATACGGCCATCACGGGTGTGCCCTCGTGGGGCATTGCCTGGTATGTGAACGATCTGCTGATACCTGAGATCACTGTGGAGCGTGGCCTGAACTACGAGTTCATCATCGAGGGCGGCAGCGATCCCGCCCAGCCAGCTAGGTGAGTACCCCCTTGCTCCACAACGATTTGTCTCCACTAAGCGGCATTTTCCTGTCCCACAGATATCATCCATTCTACATCACAGACTCGCCGGAGGGCGGCCTGGGCCAAAAGATGGGTCTGGAGGCCAGGAAACAAAAGGCATACGCCGGTGTGGAGTACGACGAGGATGGCAATGCCATACCAACGAGCGGTGGGTGAAGCAACTCTCCCATAATCCTACATGCCTAAATGGTATCCTCTTCCTCTTCCAGCTGGGCGCTATTGCGAGTGGGAGCATCAGACCATTGATCGATCAGCTGAGATCGAGACCTTTGAGGAGTACGTCAAAACGCTGGTCTTCAAGTGCGAGGATGGAGAGCCGGGCTATCTCAACTGGACAGTTCCCATGAATGCCCCAGATCAGCTGTACTATCAGGTTAGTCCCACCAAACCGCCTGGATAAGATTTCACAATACATAAGCCCGTCCTTCTCCTCTTGCAGTGCTTCACCCACAATAATCTGGGCTGGAAGATCAACGTGGTGGACATGGGTGCATCGGGTGGCTCGGATGGCAGCAGGGGCCTCATGGTCTACGTAATTTCAACAGTCTTTAGTCTGGTTGCGACACGCCTTCTTCTCACGGGCCATGTACTTGCCTGATAGTGCTCTGGCCGTGGCCAGTCAATTGGTATAAATTAGAGTTCAACTTCAAAACGATCGACAGATAAGGTCCCGGGGCCTTTTGAGCACATATCCTGGATCACTTTACATATCCCCACCCTGCCTGCCCCGCTGAGTTTTTCCTTCTAACGTATTGCTCTTGACGAATTTATGATTTTACAACCAAGCCCAGGGCCTTGTCTGTCGGGGATCTTGGGCCATTAGGCGACGTTCACAACCAGGCTAATATCATCTGAAAAACATATCTTGATAATAATTCGTAAGATGTAAAACTGTTGAAATTACAGTGGCGCCGAAAAAAATAGCACCAGTAGGCACGACCGTCTTTATTCGTTCAAAACAAGACCACTGTCCAACATTTGCTGGACTTTACTGCAATATAATGTAGCTTTATAAGTCTCCTCTCTGAGAGAAGTGTTCTTACTCTCTCAATTCTAACGGTTCATATAACATTAGGCAATTTTGCGAAAGAAGAGCGAAATAGAGCACCAACAAAAATAGCACCAGTAACTGTTTTATGTAAAAGCTTCTACTTTTCTGAGCTTCTTGATATTTTAAGTTATTGACTGAATTAAAAATCGGTGGCTTTAGGTGATTGTGACAAGAAAGTTACAAAATTTAAGTAGTTATGGGTCTTGGAAAGCACTAAAGTGAAGAAAAAAGCCAAAGGATCAAAACATTCATTTCAGAAGGCAGGACCTATGCTAAGGTGGGTCAAATGGTCGATTGTTCAAAAGAAATGATTAGCAATGCTTTGAAATATGTTTCCAACAAGAAACACGTGGAAGAAAGGCCGCGATATTCCCATTTCTGGTAAAACTACTGGTTCGTGAGAGCAAGGAGGACCCATTTAAGTCGGCCACAGAGCTAAAGCAAGGATCTTAAAAAATCGTCAAGTACCAGGAAAGTTAGATCTTGTTTACAAGAACGTAAAATGGGTACTCGTAGTACGAGGAAAATTTTACTTTTCACGGAAAGGCATGGGGCAAAAAAAGTTTGGTGTGCAAAATAGCACTAAAGTTGGGCCAAAGAAAATGGAGAAACATCCTGTGGTCCGACTAAAGCTAAAATTTATTTTTTGGTGCAAAAGGGTCTTGTTCTTGTGTGAAACGATTACCGAATGCAGAGTATAACCCCCAGACTCACATGGAAATTCATTAGACATAGAAAAGCAAGCAAAATCGTATGGGCATGATTTTCGTACTAAGTAGGTGATCCAATACATGGCACAACCCCATTATGGATCAACATGTCTATGTCAATACCAAAGAAACAGTGATTCTGCTTTATGCAGAATACGAAATAGACTTGTTTTGTGTCTTCCAGCAGGAAAATTACCCAAAACGATCCAGAAAGAGAGCTCGAAAGTGGTTCGAGCACAATTCACTTATTGCAATAGATTGGCCTGTTCAGTCTCCAGACTTGAACCGCATTGCTAATATTTTGGGTCAAGTTAAAAAATATGTTTCTAATGCGGAATCAAAAAACAATAAATATGTTTGGGGCATCCTGCATGGTTCGTGGATCAATATCCCAAGGGAAAGATGCGAAAATTAGGTGAGCTTTAATACCAATATGTTGAGCTGTTGTTGTTGCTGACAAAGGCTTTGCAACAAAATGCCAACCTTTAAATACAACTAAACTAACATATTTTACAAAAAAATTTGGAAAGTTTCTTTGCATTTTAATGTTTTGAGATTTCTTTGTAAATTGGTGCTATTTTTGTTGGTGCCCAAATTTCTGATAAAATCCTTTTCTTTTCAAATATTTTCATTTGGAGTTTGCGAATTATGCCGGTGCTCTGGGATACGATAAATTATACCTTAAAGTTTATATATTAGTCTTAACAACGTTCATTAGAACCATTGCTTAAGCAAAATCCGTCAATATAGACACATTAGTCCACTGGTGCTATTTTTTTCGGCGCAGCTGTATGTGTGCATGCGTGCGAGTAGAGTGTCCACTGTGCTGCTAGGAAAGGAGGATAGAGGGATAGAGAGAGAGAGAGAGGAAGTGGGAGCCTGATCGGCTCGGTTGAGGGGAACGATCTTTTTGTACATTTACGAGTATGGAATTCTACTTTTTTACATGTATACTTATTAAATTTACTTATACATCTACATCTCTAGCGTCGAAACGGTGTAATTTTTATAGAAACTACAAGTACAGTACGACTACAGAAACTAAGTTACGAAGAATCGAAGCCGTTTGCACGGCGGTTCCAAGTAAAGTGTATGCCGACAATAAATACGCATCTACACAATGACAATAAATTGTAATGCAAATATGAAGATGATACAATAAATCAAATCAGATAAACCTTAGCAGGGCCGCAACTGACGCCCATTGGACTTGTACAATAGGATTTATAATATACTATATACTATTTATTAAGACATAAGGAATGGCAGAGGCAAATGCAATTTGTATGACAATAAAAAAATCTACAGATATGTGAACTTTCGAGGAAGTCGTTGGCCGGACAATACAATAATTTTACACAATTTGAATGTACTGAGACGAACTAAAGAGCGAAAAACCAATGGGAAAACTATGTTATTTAATGCTACTAACTACTGTGGTGCTTCTTGTAACGATATTAGGATGATCTGACACACACACACAAACACACACATACACACATACACAAATGTAACTTATGTAAATCCCTGACCTCTCCAGGACAGACCCCTCTTTGGATGGGCGATACAGTTTTTGTTATCAGATGGTTTTCCTGTAACTTTTTTAACTATATTTGCATAATTGGTGTTTTTATATAAGCAAGATATACATACAGACACAAATACATAATATAGGAGAATATGTTTACAGTCAGCGATGTGTGTTTATAAAGTTAAGGCGGAAAGACCCGACTAAGAAAGTGCGACAATACCCAGAACCCATACGGGGCTCAGACAAATAAACATGCTGGATGCTTTAGAAATATGTGGCATGGCATTAAATGTAATATTATTAACTGAAAATAAGGTACACCTTTTTGATTGTACTTTGGGCCCTCGAGCTCCATACATAAATATAGAAAGATCCCATTTTGAACCGTAATCGTATATGAACTAACTTTTATTACAAGTATGAGTGTATTAACAATAATGGACACTAATGTTTGTTAAGTTTCTGTTGTGCTTCTCCTTTTTGGTTTCCCCTCTGAGGGTCAGTGGAAAGTCCCATAATTTGAGGGATGGATCGATTTGATATTGAAATTAGCGATGGATCAGGGCGTGGTTTGTAATTTAAATTGATTTTTGTATAGTTAAAGCAGCGAAGCGCACAAGAGTCCAATAAAACAAGAAGAATGAAGAAGAGAAATGTGAGCGATAGCGATAGCGAAGCAGGAGATAAGCGAATCACATATGTACTCTATAAATAAATTCATACATTTATATTCAAATTGATATGCATACATAGATACATTAAATTAAACAGTAAATCAAAAGGTAATCAATGCGAAAACAAAGAATATCACACTAAAGATTACACTCAAGCAAATATGAAAATTTCCATGTCGATTATAACTTAACATCTACTTACTTAGATAGCAACATTTTTCTGCATTACCTAAGAAAAGTACTTTCATTACAAACTACAAATAAAATCAAAATAAAGAAAACGAAATCCAAAATAAATGAAGCACTCCCCTATTTATTGAATGAAAATGCATGAAATATGATGGGGAAATAAAATCTTGAAATAAAGATCGAAATGGGAAGCAGCTTCAGTAAATTAAAAAAGATTTTACAGATCTTCTAACCAATAACAAAATTGCATCGAATTTATTTTCGGCTCGCGGCACCCGGATTTGTTGTTGGTCTTATTGTTAATTTTAATGGCTTTCTTGATTGCAACTGCAGATGCCCCTTGACGACAACCTGGATGGCTGATAAGCCACAGGCCGGCTAGCTGACGACTGTTGCGGAGCTCTGCCTGAAACAGATGGTCAGACCACCTGAGATAGACTTGGCGACCCTGAACTTGCACTGAACTGCACTCAGCTGGTATCATCATCAGGCCAGATATGGGTGGGTGTGCTTTGGGGTATATAAGCAGCGGCAGTGGCCGGAGAAAGGCAACAGTCTTTAGGCATTGGATCCATTCAGTGTGTCTAGTCCGGAGCAGTTGAAAGTTGAGTGTGGTCGAAGGAGTCGTCAAGATGAAGATTGCCATTGCATTTTTGGCCCTCGTGGGTCTGGTCGCCGCGGCCAGTTTCCACCAAACGCATGAGGTGAAGATCGCCGACAAGGGATTCCTCGTGAAGCAGAAGTTCCTCTTCGAGGTGGTCTATCGCATCGAGGATCCCCTGATGTTCGAGGATATCATCAAGCTGGGCGACAAATTTTACTTTGATGAGTCTTACTACACCGTGAGTGCTTGGAGCAGAGTCCTTTCTGCAGGGTCGTCTCTAATGCCACCCCGAAATTTCACCCCCCACAGCACTACGACTTCTACATGAAGAAGTTCTTCGAGGCCTACAAGATGCACTCCCTGCTGCCCAAGGGCGAGTTCTTCGGCCAGCTGGTGAAGTCCCATGCCAAGCAGGCGCGCGGCCTCTTCAACTTCTTCTACTACGCCAAGGACTGGGAGACTTTCATGCACAACGTGGCCTGGGCCCGCATGCACGTGAACGAGGGCATGTTCGTCTACGCCCTCACCCTGGCAGTGATCCATCGCGAGGACTTCCACGGCCTGATGCTGCCCTCCATCTACGAGATCTTCCCGCAGTTCTTCTTCAACAGCAAGTTCGTCTACGAGGCTGAGAAGTTCGACTACGAGATGTGGATGAAGATGACTATGTACGAGAAGGAGTATCTGGATGTGTACTTCAAGGGCCACGAGCACGGCAATATGTACCAGTACGGCGACTATATGTACATGAAGGACTTCAAGATGTGGCAGTGGTGGAAGCTGATGGGTCTGGGCGAGCACTGGTACAGCGAGGACAAGTTCATTCTGCGCGAGAACATCTACGAGTTCAACCAGGACACCAAATGGCTGGCCATGATGAAGGACGTCAAGGTCTGGTGGATGCCAGTCGACTACACCCGCGACCTGGATCTGTACAACGAGGAATCGAAGCTGTCCTACTTCACCGAGGATCTGGGCTGGAACGCATACTGGTACTACCTGAACATGGATTACTCCTTCTTCCTCGACGGAACCACCTTCGACCTGAAGAACGATCGTCGCGGCGAATGGTGGCTGTACAACGTCCACCAGCTGCTCTCCCGCTACTACATGGAGCGTCTGTCGCACGGATTCGGCGACATTCCCGAGTTCTCCTGGTACCACCAGATCGAGATGGGCTACGATCCCCAGATGATCTACTACAACGGCATTGGCTTCAGCTACCGCAAGAACTACTACGAGATGGAGACCTACGGCAACTTCGAAATGCTCGACAAGATCACCGGCTTCATGAAGCGCATGCAGGACATCATTGAGCTCGGTTACTACAAGACCACGGACGGCCACACGATCGATCTGCGCAAGCCCGAGTCCATCGAGTTCATTGGCAACCTGATGCAAGGCAACATCGATGCCATGGACAAGATGTTCTACCAATTCTGGTACATGCTGGCCCATATGTACTTCGGCGATGTCGACTACCACCAGATGGAGGTCTACCCCAACGTGATGCTGAACTTCGAGACGATGATGCGCGATCCCATGTACTACATGTTCTACAAGTCGATCGCTTCGATCTACTTCAAGTTCATGCACTACCTGCCAAAGTACACCAAGGAGCAGCTCCTGATGCCCGGTGTGACCATGAAGCACGTGGAGGTCAGCGATCTGACCACCTACTTCGATCTGGTTGACTTCGATGTGACCAACATGCTCAACGACAAGATGATCTTCCACGACGGCAAGTTCGTCTGGGACAAGTCGCTGTATGCCCGCCAGATGCGTCTTAACCACAAGCCCTTCACCTACACCTACACCATCGAGTCCGACAAGGTCGAGAAGGTTGTGGTGCGCGCCTTCCTGGGACCCAAGTTCGATGAGTTCGGAAAGATGATTTCCCTCACCGAGAACCGCATGAACTTCATGGAAGTCGATGAGTTCTACTACGACCTGAAGGCCGGCAGCAATGTGATCACCCGCAAGTCCAACGACTTCTACTGGACCGTCAAGGATCGCACCACCTACACCGAGCTGTACTACTACGTGATGATGGCCTTCGACGGCAAGTATGACTTCCCTCTGGACATCAGCGAGCCCCACTGCGGCTTCCCCGATCGCCTGGTCTTGCCCATGGGCTGGAAGAAGGGTATGCCCATGCAGATGTTCTTCATGGTGATGCCATACAAGGCCCCCAGCCACGAGCAGTTCTCCACCTTCGACTACACCTACTCCTGCGGCATTGGCTCCGGAGCCCGCTTCGTCGACAGCATGCCCTTCGGCTATCCCTTCGACCGCCAGATCGATGAGTACGAGTTCTTCGTGCCCAACATGTACTTCAAGGACGTGACCATCTTCCACACCGACACCATGGAACCCTACTACAAGTACAAGGGCTACACCAACTACGGCCACTTCGACTACACCTTCTTCCGCGACTACTACACCAAATACTTCAAGTTGTAAGCGGTGTCTGCGCGGCCTGGCCTGGTGCCGGCTACGATGGCGAACACGGAACGAACCTTCTTCTGATTTGATGAAAATCACATTTTAGCTCTTAAGTCTTGCAAAAAGTCAAATAAACTTTCGAAAAACGCAAACTATTTAGTTTTTGGTCAACAACTAAGGTTCAAAAGTGCTTAACCCATGCATTTCGCTGTCCTGTTCTGATATTTATTTTAAATGTCGGGACGGCGCGAACGCCATTCCCGGCTACCAAAAATTACACGCACGAGTTATTCACATTAGGAATAATCGCAGAGGTCAACTCAGCCGCAGTGCAATGGCCAAGCCTCACTCCGGAGGAACACGCCTTGGTGATCACGGTTAACCTCTACGCCAGGTAAGTATGCTTTCCTCTGCATTGGTCTGGGGTATCCTTAAAGTCCTGACCTGAAGCTGTTGGGAATTACAAGCCTTGAATGGAAAAAAACACTCCACCATCGGCATTGAGAAAAAGGAGCAAGAGTTCGTATGACCAGAATAGTTTGCTTAGACTGAGAATAGAATGGAATATTAGCGGCAAAGGCCGCGGCTCTACATTACACTAAATGGTTTATTGAACGGTCGCAAGGAAAATAACCTGCACTGACCAGATATAACAATGTTTTTTTTTTAAGTTTGTAGATCTTTTAACGGAGACTGACGGACACGAACTGTGTCTCTTTTTCTGTATTCTTAGGAGTGTGTAGGAGAGACAGAGAGTGAGTAAGCGCATGGAAGGATTTGCCGTAATAATCCGATCTGATCCAAATTCGGCAATCTAGTAGATAAGGTCCTTATCTATGTTTCTGCGTTTTTTGATGAGGCCGAAATACACTTGTAACAGTGTGCTATCATAGGAGTCTGGTTACAAATTTTGGTTGCTCCAGCCTTAATAGTCTCTAAAAACTGGGCGTCAAACAAGATAAATAAATTCCGGCTGGGCCAAATAAAATAGCATCGACGAATCTATATTACCGAAACGAGACTTATCGTTCCTCGATCGGAGGTCTTAGAGAATATTGGAAATCTTAATCTTAGCCCTAAGGCCGCCTGCTACGCAGTCTCCGCTGCATTAATCTGCTTACGTGGCTCACGCGCGGGTTTAAGCCTTCTTATACCACGAGCTGTTGTTGGGCTCCTCTTGGGTGTTCCGTTACGAGACGCGGCATGTAGCATTTATTTGTAGCTTAAAGCATTTGGTCTTCTTGAAGATCAGAAACGAAATGCAGATGGCATAGCACCGGGCTGGATCGGATAGCTCCAGCTATCGGAGACACTTCGTTCTGGGTGTTACACACACCCAAAAATACAATACACAAATACAAAAAAGAAAATAAACCACATAACGACTCTAAATATTTAGTTGTACTTAGTAGAGTAGAGTAGAGTACTTCATCGAATTGTTACAATTATTCATCATTGGTCAAAAGAAAAACAAATCAACCTTTGTTGGATACCAAAAATACTTGAAGAGTTCTTCTTTAGTGTTCGACCCATAATTGTCACGGCTATGATATGACCTCATAATATATGTAATATTTACAGAAGTCAGGGTTAAGGTGGCTATCCTCAGAGGTATTCTCAAATGTAGGTCTAGAACTAGTTGGGAATACAAAGATTTGCAGACGGTAATAATGAAGGTTGAGTTGCAAATTGGGTTTAACGGCTCTCTTTCTTTAGCTCTCTTCGCACTCGCATCGCCATGTGCAATCAATTAAGCGACTTTAAGAGATCTCTTACACCTTGTACTGACATACTTTCTTACAGAACTGGGCGCCTTATTTCCAGTAAAATGTGAATTTAGGCCTTGAACAAGGCCAATCTGTGTTTTTAAATATATAAACATATATTTAAGTACTTATAGATTAAGTTAGGCTAAGACACTTATCCCGATTTCGGTCAGTAAGCTGTGATGACGTGGCAAGAGTCGTTGCCACTTGCTACTCCTTATATAGAAGTTTTCCATAGATTCTTCTTTTGCACAAAACAGCTTCTGCTGAAATCGTTGCGCGAAGCAACATCCCTTCTTTTACTTAGTTTTCCGGTTGCTGTCCCCCTAGATCGGCTGACTTAATCCACATCAAGTGAATCTTTTAAACAGATCCATGATGTATGTCATGATACATATGAAAGTCTTTCAACATCATTCTGGAGAACGGATAGACTAAATCAATTTTGATTGTACTCTAACTCTACTCTATTGCCAATGGTTCGATATTTATTATTTATGTCGGGACGGCGCGAACGCCATTCCCGGCTACCAAAAATTACACGCACGAGTTATTCACATTAGGAATAATCGCAGAGGTCAACTCAGCCGCAGTGCAATGGCCAAGCCTCACTCCGGAGGAACACGCCTTGGTGATCACGGTTAACCTCTACGCCAGGTAAGTATGCTTTTCTCCGCTCGACAGCAGGGTTTCCTTGCCCCTGTGGCTAGAACTGGTTGGGAATTATAAGGCTTATCCAATGCTGCCAAAGTATTTTGAGAGTTTTATGATATTTAATTTAGAAAGCAAGCTAATTTTGTTTGATAGTTGTTATCATTGTATTTATATTTACCCAAAATAAAGTGTGAATGGTGGTAAATGTATTGAAATTTGTTTTTGTACATATATGTGTGTATGTGTGGTGCAGTCTTTCAAAGTAGGTGATAAAGTCGCATACAGCATACATTGTTTGTTTTCAGTTTTTCGTTTTAGACAGACATGATTTATTTATAGAACAATATCACTTAATTGTATTGCATGGCTATAAATGTACTTTGAAGAAAAAACCCAAAGCGTGGAGCAGCTCAATAAAGATAGAATTGTTTTTGGTTATCTGTTTCAAGATTCCGCCAGAATGTAAAATTTTTTTGTTTTTTTTTGTACTCTCTCTTCTATGGAAGTTGTTGAATTGGTCTGGCCCTGATATAGGATGATATATGATATGAGCATCAATAGACCATTTTCTTATTTGGGCATATAATATGCAGATTCAAAATTTACCCAAGGGAGGAGGGAACGGCTTCATTAGGGGTTCACTCCTGTCAACACTTCCGTTCGATTTTACTGCTGTACGTTCGTAAAAAATCAAAAATTCAAATACAATTTCGCAGAATTGAAAAAAACAGGAAAATTTCGCAAAATCGAAAAAACAGGAAAATAATCAAGAATCATCTTTAATAAAAATCAGCTTGTCATGACTGGGGTTTGAACTCAGGTCCGAAAGAGCGCAGACTAACACATCAGCAGCCGAGGTGTTGCATACTTTTGGGGTTAGTTTGCAGTTTCCGACTCCATACAGTTTTCAGTGCTTTATAATTCCCAACTGGTTCTAGCCGCCGCGACATGGAAAATCCGTTGCCGAGCAGAGCAAAGCATACTTACCTGGCGTAGAGGTTAACCGTGATCACGAAGGCGGTTCCTCCGGAGTGAGGCTTGGCCATTGCACTGCGGCTGAGTTGACCTCTGCGATTATTCCTAATGTGAATAACTCGTGCGTGTAATTTTTGGTAGCCGGGAATGGCGTTCGCGCCGTCCCGACATTTTACAATAAATTTAAATGGCTGAGAAAACATTTTATTTTCGTTTTCTACTGCAACTTGAATCGTCTGGCCTGAGTTCAAATCCCACTCATGACCAACTGATTTTAGTGGCTTATTTTTAAATTTTGGCCAAAAATTAAATTTTTTTCTGCTGTTTTTGAAACCGAAACTAAATCTTTCGCTATGAAAGCCGCCTGAACAAGGGAACATTCTGATGAATCGAGATTTTCTACGATAGAAGGCAATGGATTCCATCACCATATTATTATTAAACTTCATTCTAGGCAGTCAACACTAAATAATGCTCCAATGACTCTAAGAAACTAGCGACCTGACTTGAATGGATGGCACAGGAATGGTCGGCGTTTGTTTGGACTTCAGGCTTTGAGGCTCAGGTATGTATTTGTGAGATGATCGAAAATCAGAAAATCAGCTTTAGAATTCCCAGCCCATGTCCTCCAGTTAGAGCAGAAGACGATCCATTGAAGCCAGTGCTCTGTGGACGAGAGACTGAGTCTTTCTTCCAATCTATTAGTTCCTAATAGAGAGGATTGCTTGGCAGGACTCCTCGTGCCACAAGTTAAGCGGAACGAACGGATCTTGGTGGATGAATGCCTTAAAAGCAAGCATGGTCCATGGTCCTACGATTCGGAAATGTTTCAAACGTCTCGGAACTTATAATAATTTCGAAATATGTCCAGCGGTCCAGAGAAAACAATCTCAAGGGAAACAGCATCCCATCCCCATAGTTTCTTCAATCAATTAAACACATCGGTTATGCATCATGAATTCAAGGAATTCTTTTGTCCACCCACAATCGAAGACTATGCTTTCCCATTAATCAATAAACACTCGTTCTGTTGTTTGTTTTTTTTATCGTGGATGTGTGTATTGCTAGAAAGTTATTTTACATTTTGTATTTATTATGAACTATTTTGTTGTTGGTTTTGTTTTGTTTGTTTCTCGTTTTTTTTTTTTTGCTAGCGCAATGCTGCGGCGCAACACTCGATGAACACACAAGAGTGTTTAATGCATACAAAATAATAATAATAATACAAATAATCGTAATACATAATAATAAGATGTAAGATTAATTAACATAGTAATGCATAATGCGATTTGGGCAGAAAATGAAAGAATAACCCACACACACACTCGTACATCGCAGCAGATAAATATAGATAGAGATATACGTATATATATATAGATCTGGACATACATATGCATGTGTGAATTCATTACGGATCGTACTAAATGCGTTACATTTTGTTTTTGTTTTTGTTTCGTTTTTTTTTGTTTTTACTTTTTGACAGAGTTTTGAAACTGTACATGTTGTTATATGCTATTTAGAATATGCTTTACCGCACCTAGCACTTTGATCGAGTCAAATGCCGGCTTATAATTGTTCTGGGGCGCATTCCCCACTCCCCACTCCCAACTCCCACTCCCTTCTATATGTAAGCTCTAGATTTGGTGAGAAATACATAAATGTTTGCTTGTGTGTGGCTGCTTATGGTTTGGATTTGCGAATAATTGGATTTAACGATTACAACTTCAAAATTGTTTTTTGTTTGTTTTCTTATCATTTCGTTTTTTGTTTTTTTTTTGTTTTTGTACACAATTATAGACAATTAATGATCCTTATATATCTGCGATTTACATTCAAATGCTTTTCCTATGCTCTCAGTGCTTTCTCCTGTCTGCCTGCCGCCGATCGCTGCCTGAATTAATTCAAAATAATTTATACAAACATCAGAGTTGAACATGCAATTCAAAGGGGGAGCCGGGTAGGCGGGTAGGCGGGTAGGGGTTTGGCAAACATAATCCAGCAATTAAAGAGCAGCAGCAATCGAAACAAATCAAAAATCAGAGTTGCAGTCACAGCAAAGGCAAAGGCAAAGCCAAATGCAAATACAAAATACAATCTTTTGCTTCGCTTTGCTGCTTTTCAATTCAGTTAGCAGAAATCGGGTTCGGTTTCGGTTTCGGTTTCGATTTCAGTTTCCGGTTAATATTAATTAATGGTAATAAATAAAGCCTAGTTTTAATGCCTGCTTCAAACTTGGACATCTTTTCAATTACTACAAATATCTATATAGACGTAAATACAATTGTTTATCATGTATATTTATATTTAATCTAGATTATCCTGGAATATTAATTTAATGTAGCCAGTCGCGCCATCCAACGGCGTCGCACAGAAGGGACAAACAGCCTGAAAGCCATTGGTGCCGTGCGGTATCTCAACATTAGCCCAGTATCTGGAACACACACAGAACAAAAGGATTAGTAAAGCCAATGATCAGCGGGGGGAAACTCTCGGTCTCTGTCGATCTCGATCTCGCTCTCGCTCTCACTTGACAGTTTTCTCAGTCGCCATGTGTCCGCATGGATTGAATGCATACGTTGGGGCCCCCACGTCCACATAGAAGGCCGGCTCCAGGCCCATGCAGAGGGTGACCACGGGACCCAGCTCCAGGCACATGGGACAGCGGCGAGCGCCAGTGTTCTCATCCTGACCCCAGTCGTGATGACCTGCAGCACAGACAGAGAGAGAGAGACAATTAGTTTGGTGGAAAGACGGGAGAGAGACGGGAGGGGACTCCGCTTACCCTGCACATGGCCGCAGTTTAAGTACACATAAGGCTGATTCACCTGATCACTAATGTTTACTTTGCGTGGTATGACCAGCGTGTTGAGCCCCACCGGGCACTGTGGACGACCGGCATTGATGGCATCGATAAGTTTCTCCAAATCGTGTTTGGTCTGCGGAGACAATTCAAGTTTAAATAAACCCTATCTAGAGGGGGGAATCCCAGTGGCCCCTTACCGGCGAGTGTTGCAAGCCCTCGGCGGAGCGCCAGAGCAGCGTGGCACCGCAGAGATCAATAAGTGTGCCATCCTGCAGGATGTTGCATTCGTCATAGACCTACAAGGGCAGACACAGATTAATCAGGGATATGCGAAAGGGCTGAAACTGCTAGAAATACTTACCGGTTGACCCTTTTGCTGGGCCGAACGCGACTCGCGCAGGCTAAAGACATCCCCACCCACGGAACACTCACGCCAGAGGCCGCACTTGGCATTGCCGCCACAGAAGGATCCTTTGGGATGCATGATCAGCACACCGTTGGTGGTCAGGCCATCGATTTCCACATTATCCTGCCACTTGGTTGCCTTTTCCTGGTGCCGAGAAACGGGAAAACTCATTAGTTATTTGTAGTGCCTCGACTGCTGCACAAGCACTCACCCCGAGGAATATGTTTCTGCTTGAATCAAAGCCGGCGGCAAATATTCTCGACTTGGCGGGCTCACACCGATTGACCAGGATGCGGCACGCAAACCGGGAGATTGTGCTCTGCATCACCTTGGCGTCCTTCTTATCGCCCGGCAGCGTATCCATCACAACAAAATCGATGGGGGACTCTGAGGAGCGTCCCACCTGCAGGAGGAAAAGGAGTGAAGGAGAGACGAGAGAGGGGGGCATTACTGGGTTGTTTTCTATCTGGCAATTTATCATTGTGCAAACAAATGGCGAATCATACGATATTGGCATTACACTTCAGGCCAATAAGAAAGCGATACTTTGGCCTCGTATAAATATTGAATGCCGTTCTGTCTGTCTGTCTGTTCGAGTAAAACTTTTGACCTTTTGGCCAGGCTGAAAGGTGGCGTTTATGAGTCCATAAAGCGTGCGTATAGCACCTCTGTATATCCCTTTTCAGTAGCGACACTAAACAAATATAAAGCAAGGACGGGGACCCGCAGTTTATGTTCTCTTAGAGTTTCGTAACGTCAAAACTGTGTATTTTGTTTTTGCACTCTCGGCAACTCTTTTTTGCACACGAAGCAACAATAGGAAGGGCCTCTTGCTTTATACTATAAATAAATGGTCAAAAAAATGCTATAAATAATCCTCCAAGTGGTAGTCCAAAGTCCATACCCCCTACATTCCCTGTTTAGGGGTTTGGGGCGCCCCAACACTTGAGGAAGCTCTAATTAACCCAAAGAACATTCATCAAAGTCATGGCACAAACGCTGGTGCCAGGGAAGATTAACATCCAACTGAAATCCCGTTCCCTAGGCGAAGGACTCCCCCTTCTTTCCATTGCGGGGTAAACACTCACCTGAAACATATCCGTTTCCATGTCCTCCTTGTACTCGACGATAACCGCCTGGTTGCGTGAGAGCGTGTACGAGATTGAATGCTGATTGGCATCCAGAATGGCCTTCGATGTTTGTGGCGACTGGACGATGTAGTGCTTTGAGCGCTTGACGCCGCTCGCCTCTGTCCGTTTGTGGAGCACAAATTTGGAGCGTCGTCGCCCGCGATCGCCCTGTGGCAAGTAGCCATTGTAGCTGCAACAGACAGAAAGAGACAGAGACAGAGACATGTAATGACTGTGTAGATAGCACAATTGGGGGCATGGGGCACTATTGCCCAACGCACAGCGTATGTTCATACTCGTATATTTCGTTTTTGGGTCAAGTTCTGTGGCTGTTTACACAATTAGTGGGGGGTTCCATGGCCCCCTCGCAGTTTTCTGCTTCCCATAGATAATGATTACCCACTCCGCTAATAACTCAAAAGAATCGCCCGCTAAGTTCTCTTCTTTATTCCACATTAGCCAGACCATAAATGTGTAATTACGGCTTTCGGCAAATGGGAATAATTATTATTGAGTCATGGCACAAGAAAGTGCCCATCAGCTGTTTGTCGATGACTCGACGGCGGGGCGATTGGGGCAACAGCACGATCGACTGATCCATGGAAGTGCTGCCTTAGGGGCTCCACAAACAAATCAAAGCGAAAATCTCACGAAATGCCAGTAGAACAAAGCCAATGACACACGTCTTACCATATTTCTGAATGAAATTTGAAATTTTGAGATGGAAAACCCTTCTGCCAGATCCTGTTAAAAGGCGCCTGAAGCCTGTTTGGGCTATTTTCGGCAGAAATGGATACAGAAACACAAAATTTTAACGAAACAATCGCTGAATACCGATGTAGGATCCTTAATATTCGTCCTTGAAGAACATGCGATGCATCATATGATAGTCGCCATAATTGAATCATAGATCAAGATTTTTTGATATGGTATGGTAATAAACCACTTGATTCAAAAAATAATATTAAATATTATTTTTTTTTTAATAAAAGTTACGGAATAATTCTTAATTGTATCTCTTAAAAACATGTAAAACCAGATTAAGTTGCCACGAAAAGTAGTAGTAAACTTGTTTACAACAAAATATAAACTTTCAACATGACAAAAATCTTTTCAAATACAAATCAAATATGATTAAAATTTTTTTTTCAATTTTTTTGATTAGTTTTATTATTATTCTTATTTTATTATTATTATTATCGTGTTTTTTTTTTTTTTAATCAGAAATAGGTTTTATTTTTCGAATACAAATTGGGAAATATAAGTTTTTTTCCAATATCTCTAACTATGATAAAAATACGAATTTTAGTGTATTTTATATTGTCGTAAAATATTTCCTTCACATTGATTTATTAAGGTGTAATAAGCATTCATAATTCTTATTTCCGGTCCCTGGTTTAAGAACTCTGAATCAGAACTAGCTCTAGGGAGCATAATCAACTTTATTCACTGAAGAATTCATTGAAAGAAACCCAAAAATTCCATAAAATTCCATGTATTCAAGAAAACACCCACGATTCTTTGACTATTTTCCACTTAAGGATCATAAAGATGAGCTCTCCCCGAAGAGGAAGAGAGTTCTTTGGTAATAAACACATTCTACAAGAGTTTAAATGGATTGTATAGTTCAAAGTATCGATAATATTTGGAGAGCCATAAAATCCCCCAATAAATCCCTCTCTTTTTTGAACCTCTTCATCATAATTCTCTCCTTCAATCGGAGATGATCTCTGCTTTATATCGATACAATTTTATGATCAGACGGACACACATAAAATGTCAATATCACGTGTATTTGTTCTGAGAAAAGCCCCGAACCCCATGTTTCCCCCATTAAAAAAAAAAAAAAACATGATTTTTTTTAATTTCTATGAAATAATTTTGGATGGCATTCGTGATGTAAAGTTCTGAGAAGCGGTGGCTGATGGAATCTTTTGCGACTTTTGAATTATTATTTCACATAGTGTTTTGTTCTTTTTGGATGGGTTTTGGTGGACAAAACCAGCATATATCACTGACCCGACGACTTCCTCAATTTGGCTGCAGGGGAAGCTGCCGCAAAGACCTGACTGCGGGACCACACCATACGGGGATGATAAATGAGGAATTGATGGAGAACTATGTACATTACAATTCCAGAACTCAGAGAGCCCCCTGCCTTTGTCCCACAGGCAATTAAGAAGTGTTAAGACAGTGCAGCCACAGCGTCGAATGACTCAAAGCGCATTTGAGTTGGCCCGGATCTGGCTCTGGCTCTCGGTCTGGCTCTCGGTCTGGCTCTGCTTCTGGCCTCATCGTGAGTCACAGCAAACCGTCGAGCCGTTGGGTAATCAACGCAATGTCAAGCTCTTTGCTCGGCCAAGATTTACAATCATCCGTCCCAGCAGCCGGCCAGAGCCATCAATCTACTCTCCAGGCCCGGCCCGTGAGACACTGCTGCAGGGGCAGGGGCCGGGGCAGGGGCAGGGGCAGGGGCCTGCTGAGGCACTAGGTGCCAGACTTCAGAGTCTAGACTCTAGGAAAAGATTACAGCTTTACAGGTTTTTGGGTATTTTGGGGTATAATGAGCCGCTTTTTACCACTGATTGATCATTGAATGAATGTCTCTTCGGAATGGATTGTTGGAGATATAGTTGCCTTGAATATTTCACAGGAAAGAGGATAAACTACACCTCTCCCACTTCCATCTTTCATTTCATTCGAAGTTAAGCCTTTCCAGCTATCATTAGGCTTCCAAATTCGAATTCCGACCAAAGGAAACCCTTAGGATGGGTTCTGATGGCACTTACCCGAGTATAACTAGTTCTCCGTAGCGCAAACGCGGTTTGTCATGGCCATCGCCACCGTCTTCAGCCAGTATGGGAGATTCTGTGCCGTCGGTGCTGCAATGGTAAAGGAAATTCGTGAATAGAGTACAAATTCAAATGAATGAATTCAATTCAATGAGAATTATATGAGAATATGAAGCCATTCACATGCTTCAAGTTTCAGGCTTTTGGCTGGATGGATTTACATAACGAGGGAGAGGGGAAACAGGCTCTCCTCTCTCTCTCTCTCTCTTTCTCTATTGTGTTATGCAAGAGAAAAGTAAAACAAAAACAATAAAAAGGTAGCAAAACTTTTGTGGCAGAAACTGAAACAAAAGAACGAAACGGAAAAGAACAAAAAAACAAAAACTAAGGCGAAACAATTTCAAAGTAAAATGCCAAAGAAATTGCTCACTTTCCCACTCTCCCTCCCACTCTGCCCCACTAGCTCCTTCTCCCTCTTTCTCCCTCTTTCTCCCCCTCTCTCCCGTCTTTCTCCCTCTTTCTCCCCCTCTCTCCCTCTTTCTCCCCCTTTCTCCATCTTTCTGGAATTGCAATATGAGGTCTCTGTCGCCTCTCTGTCTCTGCTGTCGCAGTCGCTGTCGCTGTCCCCAAGTGCAATGGAAATGTACCATCGTTCCAGGCCATGGAAGTCTTAGGAATGCGGCCTCAAGTTACCCTCTCTCTCCCCATTTCCCTCCCCCTTTCGATCAGCTACTAGGCTGGCATTATAATCGTATAATTATAATGCAAATTATTTGAAAATTGCCTGCTTCCATTAGACATTTTCTCATTAGATTCCATGACACAGCAGCCTCTTCCTTCTGCTGCCTCTTTTTCCCTGCAGCGGCTGTACGGCTCGGCTTCGCTGCATTTACGATATTTATACTCTTTCTAAGAGGTTATTACTATTATAAGAGGTACGAATTTTCTAATATTAATAAAAAAAAAGTCTGCTTTGGGAACTACTATTCGCTCAGTTCTAGAGCTATTTGCCGGGGAAAGCATTTTTGTTCCATTCCACTGTTCCATTAGTAGCAAATTTACACGTGCGCTTAATATATCCGTTCACTTAGGGGAAATTTGTATGAAACCATGAAGAGTGGACCCTAGGGGAATGGGAGTCTTTGTCGAAACCTCTAGAATCGTCTCATGCCACAGAAATCATCGCTCGATAAGCAATTCTTTGTAGACCGAAACACCTTTGAAAGGTATCTACCTCTTCGTTCATCGATGCCACAGAAATCATAGCTCGCTAAGCAATTCTTCGGTAAACCAAATCCCTGTAAAGGGTATCTGCCTCTTCGATCTCCTTTGATTCTATTTTTTATTACAGAATTCTTCTGACATTTTCTTCTCCCTTTTTTTTGGCGCATCATAAACTTATTTACAGCAATCTAATAAAGCAGCCTGGCGCCGGTTTACGCCCACTCCCAGACACACACACACACACACACACACACACACAGACACACACACACATAGGGAAATAGGGAGAGGGTGGCCTGCTTTGGGGTTGCATTGATTTTTGCTCGTTGCATTTAAACTTGCTCCCCTTTTATTTTATGTGTGCTTGCCCCCATGATGGGGGGTCTCTGCGCGTTGACTGACGTTGAAAAGGTGCCACCGAGAGGGTGGAGCCGGGGGGCTGCCACGGCACTTGATATTCTGCAGCGCAGACAGAAATTGCAGCACACAGAAATGGGGGTGGGCAAAAGGGGGGGGGGAGGCGGTGTGGACAGACGCTGAACGCGTGCAAGTGCGAAAGGGAAATGTTTCTCATTCTCTCCCTCTTTCTCCCCGTTTGTCTGTCTGTTTTGCATGTCTCTTTCGTAGGCTTCAAATTAGCGCTGCAACTTGGTTTTAGACACGTCTAGAGGCATGAACGGACTTGCTCGAGTTGGTGTACAGTTACTGTCCTTAAGGATAAATAGAGAGAGAGAGAGAGAGAGCGCTTTCTTAGCTTTTACTCCCTCCAAACTTTTGAAACAGTTAAGGACAGAGAGAGGAAGCTTTTTCTGTTCTCTTCTTCGCCTTAAACACGTTCCCATAAGTGAAAGGACACATTCGTTTTGAGTTAATTCAAACAGAGAGGTTTTTTCACGAGTGTTTCAGTTTGTTTCATGAAAATTACTACTTTCATAGAAGAAATATGCAGAAAAGGTTAAAACTTAGTTCAAAATTATGTAAAAATCAGAGTTTTTCATGAGTTTAAATAGAAAATACTCCAATATTATAGATAAACCTTACTGCTAAGCCGCACTGGGGGAAGAGAAGCCGCTTATTGAATGGATTTACGTGTACACTTCTCTGTTGCCCACCAACAGGTGTGTGGTTGGTTAACACTCAGCAGCCCGGCACACTGTTGACCCAACAGATATACATCTTGTGGCAACAACAACAAAAGGACCACCCACTCGACAGGCAGGCAGGCAGGCAGGCAGCAAAAACTGGGTTAAATTGATTAAGTCTGTGTTGTGTCTCTTGCTATTCATAAAAATAATAATAATATTAATAACGATGACGATGATGAAAGCGGGGGGTCGTTTGTCATTTGACTGCTGTCGAAATTAAATTTAATCAACAAAAGAAGACGATTGTAACTCAATCGGAATTGGAGTAAATATTTACACAATATGCGTGTAGGGTATGCCAGAATTTCCACACTTCTGCCCTCATATTACACAATTAAAGAATCCCGACCGTTCCCCCGTATGGGAATTCATTAACAAATCCCATAAATTTCGATTACGGAAAAGATCGGAGCTTAAATAACATTTCGAAAGGGCTCCCTCTCCCTCTCTCTCCCTCTCTCTCTCATTCGCGTGACTGTTTCCACATGCAATCAGCTGTTGTTGGGTCTCCTTCCACCATCAAAGAATTTATTGATTTTCAGCGACTACTTATTTGCATACATTTCAATTTGGAAAACTAACCCAAGCACCGCCGAAGCGGGTACGCGGGTCCGTCGCCATGCAAACAGCCAAAAACCCAACTAAAACTAAAAAAAAGAAAACCAGCAAAAAAAGAAGAAAAGAGGAAAATGCGCGATACATGTTAGGCCACAAAAAAGATACACAGATAAATGGAGTTACCACAGACAAGCGAACACAGAGAGCAGTGATACTGTGGCAGATACGGCAAGAGGTATCCATGAGATACGATATCTACATATGCCCGGGTTCGGCATTGGCTTTTTTGTTGCCCACCCTGTAAAGAGGGTATTAATGGCAAGCGAAAAGCAGTAGCGAAACAAGTTCTTGTGCACTGCGATTATTTTTTTTAATGATGAATTTAATTTATTTTTGAATATAAAACATTATCACACATACAATTATGTACGTATATTGAATGAGGCTTATCTACAGACATCCTATAGGGAGCCAATCTCATAGAAAATTGTTTCACGGGTTTTCATGGACCGAAAAAGTGTCAGAAAAAATTTACTTAAAGTTTTTCGGCTTTTCAAAAAGATGAAGCGACTATTGACAGCTGATTTAAAACAGCCAGTTGAAGAAGGGGAGAAGGCACTTGACAGCTACGAAAGTGAATAAAGCATAAACAGCTGATGCATTAAACAGCTGATAATAACATTTGTGCGCTTAACAGCACCCGGTTATTCTTTTTTCGGAACGGCAACCAAGCGGCACCTTAATTCGAAGTCGAAAAACATTCCTAACTGGAATTATTTTTCCTTTCAAAGTCGCTATTGAGTAGCTCTTAAAATAGCAATAAACTGAAATTGTTGCGGTGCTTACACTTAAATTGAATACTAAAGCCATTGCCCAAATATCTTAAACTGATTTTATTTATTGACAATCGAAACATTCCCTCTTTCTAGAACGAAAAAAACAACTTTCCAGTCAAGGCTAACCCTCTCTCAATGTCCTCTTATTGCTCTCAAAGTAGTGTCTCCCTCCGTTAAAGGGTATCAAAGCTTCGACAACGAAATCACTCCCTCTCTTTTCTACCTCCTCTGCCCCATGTACGTGTATGTGTTCCGTCTGGTTCTGGTCTAACTGTGGCGCGTCGGCTCTTCGGGTTTTGTTCTGCTTTTTCGTGGCTGTCTGCTGTTTAGGGAAATCAATTTCTATATCTGTGTGCGTGTGTGTGTTTCTGTGTGTTTTTGTGTGTGAGTGAAGGCTGTGCGGACATTGTCATTACAGTGGAAAAGCGTAGAGCAGTATTTCCATTATATTGGGTCCGTCGTCCCCCGTCCATTCTCTCCATGGCCTTTCCATTGCATGACAATGGGTCGGTCTCGCATACCATCGATTTTCCTTCTTCTCTGCGGCCGACAGGCCCCACAAAATCGCATTACAATAAATTTTCCGGCAAAACGCAAAGGGCAAACCAACATTTCCCTTGATTGCATGCTAAAAACTGCACCCAGGACTCGGACAAGGGTATAGAAGGGACTCTGAAATCAGGGCAGGTGTACACACAGGTTACCCCCTCTCCCTTCCTCCCCTACCCGACTCTGACCATGGGTGCTTTTTGTTCTCTTCTGCTGGCCGGCCCCATGTGGAGGGTTTAATGTCACGAGGTCGCAGCTTATGCAAATTAATTTGATTATCAGGGTGCAGATGCATTACATTCATTTCATTAGCCTATCCCTAGCCTCCCACCTGCCCCTCTCCAGCCCTCTCTTTAGAGGCTTTTAGCATTTCATTGCACATCTAATTGAGTTTAGCCGGCGGCAACAGAGGGCGAAAGGAAATGCGTTAGGGCTAAAAAGCAACAAGCACTTGGGATACAAATTAAATACCAGAAAAGTGCTGGCATTTAATTTCTATGAGAGAAACAGGTTCATGTTGTTTTCTGTCATTGAGAACTCAATTTAGAAAGTATTAACAGTGAAAGGAATATTATAAAGTATCGTCGAAAGAAATCCCGAATCATTGAATAGTGAGTAAATAAAAGAAAACTCTCGAGCACCCACCTGCCCATTAGCCAAGGTGGTGTATTTCCGCCACGCGCTCTCTTTTCACCGCAGCACAAAGGAGCGAACAGTATAGAAAACAAAACAAAACTTCCTCTATACTCGTATATCCATCTCTGTCTTCGCTCTCGCA